AATGTTAGAGCAAAGCAATGATGAACTTTTGGAGACGAATGTTATGTATTCCTTTAATGATGTTGGCCTTGAATCTATCCACATGCAGCCCAAAATTCACACACCCATATCCACAAAGGCCACTAATCATAATGTTGTTGAGATGACATAAAGCAGAGGCACAGAAAAACGTCTAGTGCACTTTAGCACAGGAGACCTAAAGTGTTAATGAAAGTTCAGACAATGGAATCAGAGAAATCTGGCTTCAAATCCAGTTACTACTACCATGGCATCTGGGACAAACATAGAAAATTGGGATGAATGATAGAATTTGGTCAGATGATAAAATGAAAATTCATTTATATACTCCTGAGAGCCACTCCATAGCACAGTGGTTAAAGCCCTGTGCATAGGGAGCTGGATTCCATAGGGATGACCAGAGTTTGAACCCCAGCCTTGGTGACCTAAAAAAATGCCTGGCATTTGTATTTGTGTGTGTATGTATGTACATGCACATGCACAGAATCCTGAGAAGATGGAGAGATAAGAGTGCTCGATCATTTTCTCTTTCTCTCTTTTGGCCAGTGCACATGCCACTTGACCATAAACACATACACACATACACACACACACAAACACACACACACACAAAACACTGGGCACATCTGCATGAGTGCACAAAATCCCAAGAGGAGAAGGGATTGCAACATAATCATACCCCTCGGGGTGCCTTCTCACTTTCTTACTTTCTCTCATCCAGCAAGCACACGTGTCCTATAGCAAAACAAAACAAAACAAACGAACAAAACACACGCACACAGAAAACACTCCCTGATGTGAGACTTTCTAGGATTGCAAAGGGTTTCTGGCTATTAGTAGAAGAGAATGTGCACATGTAGCCCATAGTCTGAATGCCTCACAATTACTTGTTTTTCCATACAAAAATGTGTCATGATTTTTCTGATGACCCAATATTACTTCCACTGTTTCTTTTTTAAAATTAATTTATCTATTATCATTACTATCTTTTAAAATTTGACCAGATCAAGAGAGAGAGAGAAAGCAAGTCACCAGGTCTGGGACTCGAACCATCGTCAGCCATGTAGGAGTTCAGCGTCTTAACTATAATACCACCTGCTGGCCCCTTCCACTGTCTTTGAAGCAAATTCAGTAATGTGCACATAATTGTAGACTGATTAGATAACAGATACATTACATAAAGAGCCACGGCAGGACTCCCTTAAGCAGCAATGTGTTCACAGAATTGCTATTTAGGACCAGCCTCTGTGGCCCACTTGGTAGCATACCAGACTTCAGAGCTGAAACTCATACTCAGACCACAGTGGGAGTCCTGGGCCAGGTCAGCCTGAAAACACACAGGGTGCTTGAGTGCATACGCAGAATCCTCGTGGGCTAGAGGACTGGAGGAAGGGCATTACGGTGTAGCCAAGTCCTATGGAGGATGCCCTTCTTGCTATCTCCCTTATTTTTCTCTCTCTCAAGCAAGCACACAAGCTATATTATGAATTTTTTTTCAATATTAAAAAAAATGATATTGAAAAAGCTATTTTACGTAGGTCCAGACAATGATGCAGCAGTAAAGTAACATACACTGCAAGCCCACATTAGCAGGTCCCAGGTTCACTTCTGGAGATTTCCCTGGAATATAAAGAGCGTATATATGCCCATGATCTAAGGTGGCTGAAGCTGGGGGAGGGGGAGAGACTGTGTTATCAAGATCCTGTTGCAGGTGCTGTCTCTATCTTTCTCTCTCATGAAAGAAAGAAATAAACCTATAAAACAGAACAATTTTGTGCCTGTATAAGAGATGTTCCTTTCTTTAGAAGTAATAGTGAAGAAGTTAAGGATAAATTCTTTGGATTTCCTTTCCCTGTAGATTCCCAGAGTTTACATTTTTACTTATTTTTTTGAAATGCCAGAGCCAGAGGGGTGGAGGGAAGGAACAGGGGGGAGAAAAGGCACCCTTAAACAGAGCCTGGTCATACTACAATCCTTTTTCCTCCAAATTCTCCATCCTGTCAAGATCCTGGGCACACATTGTGCCTAGCATGTTTTTCAAGCCCACAGGGGCCAGGACTCAAACCCTGGCTGGCCATGTGGGATCTAGCTTTCTTTCTCTGCTCAGGGACTAAGTGCTACACTAAGGAAACCAAGTCCAAAGTTCACCTCTAAAGGTCCCCTAGTTCTTCAGCACTGGAAAGTTATCTATAATCGCTAATCATTGGCGTTTCTAGAATATGTATAAACACAGAAAATTATGAGCTAAAACAGAATAGACCAACATTTCAAAGCAGCCATATCTAAGTTATATAAACCTTCCTTGAGGCAAAAATAAATAAATTAAAAAAATAAAAATAAAAGGAGTCTATCAGGGTAGAGAATAGAAGCTATTTACGACTAAGGGAGGAGACCCTATGAAAAGAACTGCATGAGAAACCTGCCTTGGTTACTGGAAAGGTCCAGCTCTCTGACTAGATAACTAAGATTTTCCTGAGATCTTTGTTCTTCTTGGATATCCTCTCCTAAGGAGTAAAATAGAAGTATTGTATATTTCATTTGAAATTGGTATATCAGGTTTTTATTTCTGTAGGAACATGTCTTTGCTTTTATTGACTAAACATATAGGAAAAATACAAAAATTTCACTTTACAGTTGATTTTTTCAAGAATGCATAATTTTACATATATTTCAATTTAACACATAATTTAATAAACTATTATTTTTAAAGAATTATTTAACTTTATTTATTTATTTTAATTTGACCAGAAAGCGACAGAGAGAGAGAAAGAGAGGGAAAATGAGAAAGCAAGCTGCCAAGTCCAGGATTTGAACCATGGTTGACCATGTGGGAGTCCAGCACCCTTAACCACCATGCCACCTGCCAGCCCCAGTAACCTTCTATTATTAAAAAAAAAACTTAGAACTTCATTGAAAAAAAATTATTCATTACAAACAATTATTTATGTTATATAACTATATTCCCCAAATATATTTGCAATGGTCAACACTGACGACCACTATAAACACTAAAGTCACTGCTCAGACAAGAAATGAGTGGTATAAAAAGACCAACGATAGGATGTTAACAACCAATAGTTTAATTAGCCTTCATATCTACCATCTGTCTCATTAAAACAAGAGCGCTTTTCATATACTGAAGAAGCAGCTATGTAACCTGCTCCTGTCTTCCCACAGCTCTATGGTTCCAGCCGTGAACCAGTCTCTTCCTTCTACCACTGGACACCACCTCTGTGAAACCTCATACTCTGGGTGTGGTTTTAATCTGAAACTTCATCAAACTTCATGTGTCAGGGTTAACAGGAATACATGCTAACCTTTTCCCAAGAGTGTTAACCACATTGTTCCAAAGCAAATGAACCCAAGTGTGGTGGTGTTTTATGTTCCTTTAAAAGTAATAATCAAGGTCTCTACCAGAGGCAGGATAAGAGACCACACAAACTAATAAAAAGAAAAATGGAAGCTAGAGATCAGAACCATCTACATGATGGGAGACAGGACTAGAAAGGGAAAAAGATTTTTTTTATATATAACAAATATTGCATGAGTCTATGAAAATTCTATTTATTTGGATATCTGAACTCCAGCCTATGATACACTAAACAATTTTCACATTAAGGAGAAAGAAACAAGGCAACACATAAACGACTGACAGATAATCACACCAAGAAGATTAGGGATCAGCAAGTGGCGTCGTGGTTAAGGTGCAGGACACTCCCACATGGCAAACCACAGTTCAGTCCTAAACCTGGTGGCTTGCTCTCTCTCTCTCTCTCTCTCTCTCTCTGGTCATATTAAAATAAATGAATGAATAAACAAAGTTAAATAAAAATAAATAAATAATTTTAAAAAAAAATAAAGGAAGAAGAAGACAGCTAAAAGGAACCAGCAAATGGTGTAGGGATTATATCACTGGACTTCCACATGGCCAACAGTGGTTCGAATCCCGGACCCAGTGGCTTAAAACTTACACCAGGCACATGTGCATGCATGACCAAGATCCCAAGAGAATGGAGGAGAAGGAACTGTGGTATGTCCATCCTTCCTGGGGGGTGATTTTTCACTTTCCCTCTCACTGTGTTTGTCTTTCTTTCTCCTTACCCCAAGCAGACAGGCCCTAAGGCAAAAAAAAGTCTTAAAAAGGAAAAAAAAAAAAGGGGGGGGGAGGGACCAGCAGTTGGAAAAAGCGCTATTTCTGTTTTTGTAGTCGACCGCAGTTCAAGTCCCGGATCCAGTGGCTTAAACTCATGCCAGGGATGTGTGCATGTGTGCCCAAGATTCCAAGAGGAGAATGGAGGAGAAGGATTGGGGCATGGCCATCCCCCCGGGGGGTGATTTCTCGCTTTCTGTCCCTCTTGTCTTTCCAGTGAGTACATGCGCCCTATAGCAGAAACTTTTACCCACCCCCTCAAAAAAAAGGGGAAGAAAAGCTTTTAAAAAAAAAACTCTCTCTCTTGTCAAATTAAAAAATAATATTAAAAAATTCTTAATTTTTTTTTTCTGTGGCATACTAATTCACCACATGAAAAGCTAATTTCAGATAGGAAACAAGAAAAATCAACATCTGGTAACTAGGTAAATGCCATATGAAGTTCAATGTTTTTCTGGAAATAATCCCCAAGAATTATTATTATTATTATTATTTATTTACTGTATGAGAGAGAGAGAGAGACAGAAAGACAGAGAAACAGAAAGTCAGACAAACACACTCCCAGCAGAGTCCTCATACTGTGATCCACCCCCAACCAGTCAGGAACACAGACATGTACGTGGCACCCAAAGTGTGTAGGGTGACCTTGGGACGCAAACCCAGGACCTGTCCATGCGGCTTCAGCAGCAGGAAGTGTTCTGCTATTGCTGTGCCACCACAGCTGGCCTACTAGGAATTATTCTAACTGATTTTCAAAGATAAATTAAGACAATTACTTTCTCAGGTTCATCTCTCCCAATAGTAGCATGACAAGAACAACACAAAAACCCACCTCGGTATGTCTTTGATGTAATGCATTATATTCCTTCTTCAGTTCTGCTTCTCTTTCTTCAAGTCTGCTAACTGAAATTAAGATACATATACTTAATCAAAACAAAATATAAGAAATTTACTCGAAAAAGTCCACCTTAAACTTGAAATGGGTTATGCATAATCCTGAGCAACTTTAGGACCCTGTGTTCCATAAGAAATTCTTCACAATTGTTTCATCATCATTAATAAATGAAACTTTCTGAGAGGGGAAAAGCCCTAACCATCAGATTGGTTCTCTAATAGGCCTGTGTTTATCACATCACTCCTTGGAGTAGGTTTTTAACATGATTCAGAATTACCTCTTTCAAAAACATTTACAATCACCTTGTATAAATATTAGTTTGATATTAGGCCTCAAATAATTGATTTCTAACACTATTCAGTTCTTTTTTCAATTCTGACAGCTTGTCAAAGTTCCATTGTACTTTTTCTGCAATTTTGGGGATTCATCTTCTTTTATCTAGCTCCCTCTGCTGATGGGTTTTGTGAGTGACAATGATTTCAGGTAATGCTCACGTTATTTTATATATTTTTTCAAAACCCAAAAATCTAGATTCTGAGATACAGAATGCCAGGGTAGGATTTCACAGGAAAGAATGACTGACAGAAAAGAGGAATGAGTCAGAGAGGAGGCGGCGTCCAAAAAAGACCACAAAGAAATTACAACACTTAAGATGGACGGTAATGAGAGTGTTCCAGACACTGTGACCACAGAGAAGGAAACACAAAAGCATGCAGTAGGGAGGCAGAGGGGAAGCTGGTCAACCTGGAGGAGCCCATACTGGCTAAGAAGTAGGGGGAGACAGTCTGGTGGGGAGAAATAAAGCTGATGCTACAGGAGCTTGTCAAGACATGTTTAAAGTCTGTTTGAAAGGACATGTTCTCGTGGTAGAAGGGTCAGCTAGCCACAAACATGCAAGGCTGTTTGTAATGTATAGCCTGTGACTGGCAAGCAGTGATAGAGCTATTAGGAGGTAATACTCTAACATCACCCATGCATGCTTTGTATGCATAACATTAACACACCTCACACCACCAAAACCTAAGTTACCCTGCTACTGTTTGCTACTAAGCAAATCAACTCATTTTTGATTTGTATACCTTTATCTGCCACAATGTATGAGTAGTTTGAAAAGATGTCATTACCTAGGAAAACTATCCCTCTTTTAGTTTTGTTTCTAATTCAAGCTTATCTACACTTGGCTCATTAAATCTAAACCAGTGAGTAAACATATACTCTAGTACCTCTGGCCCACACCTTATCACGCCAGGCAGATAAGGCTCCAGTACATTTGCTATTCATCTTCTCCTGTGGTTGAAAGAGATAATATGCAAACTCATAATGCAAATGTGTTATCATAACACAACAGGTGCTGAAACAATAATCATTTTTGGAGGTACTTTTGTGGTTTTTCTTTAAAAACAGGAAATTCAGGGACAGCAGGTAGCATGATAAGGGCACTGGACTCCCACATGGCCAACCGCTGTTCGAGTCCCAGACCTGGACCTCGTGGCTTGCTTTCTCGCTTTCTCGCTTTCTCACTTTCTCTCTCTCTCTCTCTCTGTGTCCCTCTCTGGTCAAATTTAAATAAATAAATAAATAAATAAAGCTAAATAAAATAATTCTTTAAAAAAATAAAAACAGGAAATTTAAGAAAATTATAAATTCAAGATATTTAGGAATAATTTCAAAATAAACATTTTCTACTACTTGTCAATTAAATTAATTACTTTAAATAATTATTTGTTTAATTTTGTTATCATTATTACTATTTTTCTTTAATTTGATCAGAGAAAGAGAGAGAGAAAGGGAAAGTGAGAAAACGAGCCATCAAGTCTGGCCATGTGGGAGTCCAGAACCTTAACCACCATGCCACCTGCCAGCCCCAGTTAAACTAATCTAATAGCATAAGGGAATCCTGAGACTACTGGACAAATCATATCTACTTTTACTTGCTTAGTTTGAGTCCTGGCCCTGGCAGCTTGCCTTCTCACTTTTCCTCTCTCTCTCTCTCTGGTCAAAAATAATAAATAAATAAATAAATAAATAAATAAATAAATAAATAAATAAATCTATCTTTAAAAAATAATAAAATAAAATCCAACTATCATCCATAACCCTCAATTTCAATTTTGATTCAACAGTAAAGCCTCATTATTCTCACTAATTATATGAATTAATAAATAAATCTATATTACTATCACTACATTACTAATAGCAACTAACAATATTAAGTGCTGATTTCATATTATACCACGCACTGTCCTAAGAACTATATATGAACTAAATATTAATTTATTCAAGCCTGAAATTAACCTTATGATTGAAGTTTTGTTTTGTTTCTGAGAAGTTTTTGCTATAGGGTATGTGCACTCGCCCGAAAGAGAGACAGAAAGCGAGAAATCACCCCTCAGGGGGGATGGCCACACTGCAATCCCTTCTCTTCCATTCTCCTCTCAGGATCTTGGGCACATGCGCACATGTGCCTGGCGTGAATTTAAGCCACTGGGTCTGGGACTCGAAGCGTGGTCTACTACATGGGAGTCCAGCAATGTAGCCATTATGCCATCTGCTGGTCCTGATTGAAGTACTATTACATTCATTTTAGAGATAAGGAAAGTAGGACAAATAGAGGTTAAATAACTTGCCCAAAGTCAGGTTTACACAGGTAGTAAACAGCAAAACAAAGATTCCTAACAAAGGATATGGCTCCAAAGTCATTTTCCTTCAGAAATACTTATTTAAATTGATTTACTTGTTACTATTCTTCAATCTGACCAGAAACAGAGTGAGAAAGCCAGCCACCAGGTCCGGGACTAAAACCACAGTCAGCCATGTGGGAGTCTAGCACCTTAAATACCACTCTACCTGCCGGCTCCCAGAATCTGTTCTTAACCACCATATTGTACTGCCTCTCCAGAAATATTCGTTTTCACCTGTTTTGCATATTAGGGTATATATTAAGATTTCACTAAAATGAAGCATACTTCAAATTAAAACCTCCTCTGTTCTTATGGAAATACTCAGTCACAGATAAATTGACACACAAGCATCAAACTGACAAAAATATGTACCCCTCTCTGTTAATCACAAGAGAAATGCACGTTAAAATAAAAATGTGCTATCAGTATGCTCATCGGAATGGCTAAAATGAAAAGCTCAATACATCAAGTGCTAAGAAGGACTGGGACACTTTCATATACTGCTGATGGGAATATTAACTGGTACACTTTGAAAACTGGCAAGATGTGATAAAGTTGAATGTTTACAACCCTACCACAAAACAATTCCATTGTTAGGAAGCACGTATATATGTTTACCCAAAGGTTTCTTTTTAAAAAATTTTTGTTATAGTGTGTGTGCAGTTTCCAGAGACACAGGATGATAGGAGACAAAAAGCAAGAAATCACCCCCGGGGGGGGGGGGGATGGCC